ACTGCAGTGTGACCTGTGTAGTACATCCTACTGCAGTGTGACCTGTGGAGTACATCCTACTGCACTGTGACCTGTGTACTACAATGTGACCTGTGTAATAATCCTACTGCAGTGTGACCTGTGGAGTACATCCTACTGCAGTGTGGCCTGTGTGGTACATCCTACTGCAGTGTGACCTGTGTAGTACATCCTACTGCAGTGTGACCTGTGTAGTACATCCTACTGCAGTGTGACCTGTGCAGTACATCCTATTGCAGTGTGACCTGTGTGGTACATCCTACTGCAGTGTGACCTGTGGAGTACATCCTACTGCAGTGTGACCTGTGCAGTAATCCTACTGCAGTGTGACCTGTGCAGTAATCCTACTGCAGTGTGACCTGTGTAGTACATCCTACTGCAGTATGACCTGTGGAGTACATCCTACTGCAGTGTGACCTGTGCAATAATCCTACTGCAGTGTGACGTGTGTAGTACATCCTACCGCAGTGTGACGTGTGTAGTACATCCTACCGCAGTGTGACCTGTGCAGTAATCCTACTGCAGTGTGACCTGTGTAGTACATCCTACTGCAGTATGACCTGTGGAGTACATCCTACTGCAGTGTGACGTGTGTAGTACATCCTACTGCAGTGTGACGTGTGTAGTACATCCTACTGCAGTATGACCTGTGGAGTATATCCTACTGCAGTGTGACCTGTGCAGTAATCCTACTGCAGTGTGACGTGTGTAGTACATCCTACTGCAGTGTGACGTGTGTAGTACATCCTACTGCAGTGTGACCTGTGTAGTACATCCTACTGCAGTGTGACCTGTGTAGTACATCCTACCGCAGTGTGACCTGTGTAGTACATCCTACTGCAGTGTGACCTGTGTAGTACATCCTACTGCAGTGTGACCTGTGCAGTAATCCTACTGCAGTGTGACGTGTGTAGTAATCCTACTGCAGTGTGACCTGTGTACTGCAATGTGAAATGGGCAGTGTATCTTGGATGGTTTATATTTATTTCTTTTCTTTCTTTTTTTTTCTTCATTTGTAGGTGAAATCTCAGACCTCTAAGTAGATCACAAACACTGAGAGCAGAGTGGAGCCTTTGTGGGTCCTATGGTACCTGACACAGCAGTGAGCACTCAGTCAATGTTTGTGGATTCAGCAGAATAGTCATCCCACACAGAGATACAGCTTGGCTTCATGTTCAATATTTAATGCCTCTATTTGTTAGTTTAAACCTCACGTCTATCACAGCCTGACAAGTTTGCAAAGTGCAATGCTTGTTGTTTGTGATCTTAAAGAATTCTCTTGTCTCCTAGGGTAATTGTGTGATACTCAGAAGCATTTTGGAGCCAGAGGAGTAAGCCCTTAAGTCTGGGGGATGATATCTAAGTACTCTATAGTCCATATTGCATGGGACCTGCCAGTGAGATTGATGCCAGTGTGGGGCAACTTATGTCTCTTGCCTCCGTGTGTGTGTGTGTGTGTTCTCTTCTGCATGTCTAGACCCCTTTCTTTGTGATGTCTAGACTCTTTTTTAGATATCTAGAACCTTCTCTTTTGAGCTTCTAGAGCAGTGGTTCTCAACCTGTGGATCATGACCTGGGGGTGATGTTCAAACAACTGTTTCACGTGTGTTTAGTCTCAGATATCCTGCATATCAGGTATGTACATTATCATTCATAATAGCAACAACACTACAGGTATGAAGTAGGAACCACATAATGCTATGGTTGGGGTCACCACAGCATGAGGAACTGTACTAAAGGACCTCAGCATCAGGAAGTCTGGAGCATCCTCGTCTATTGTGGCCCACATCATTTTTATCTTGCATCACCAATATCAATTGATCTTGTAATTTCAAAACACAATCTCATGATCCCAATGTTAGAGCACTGTGGGAAGCAGCCAGTCTAGGGATGCTAAGCCCACTCTTAAGGAAACGGAAGCTTGGAGGCAGAGGATAGGGCTCTACTTTCCCATTTCCTGATCTGATATTCTTTGTACCTCAGCAGGCTGCCTTTTCTGCATTCCTCAGAACTTCATGGAGGACATGAAAAAAATACTCTCTGGTGATGTTTAGTGAAAAACGAGGCCTTAAATACCTACTTAAGGATTGAGAACCTTTGATCTGGTCTGCTTTGTTTTGCTAGACTATATTCCAGAGAGCTGGATAATGGTAGAAAACCCATTGTCTGGTTTTACCTCACACATTTGTTACTGTTTGGGAGGTCTGCAAGGTGCAGTTTCATGTCACTTTCTCTTAAAGAGGTGACAAAGCCAATTAGACTGTCAGTGGTGTCAGCCAGTCGCCTTGCTCACTACTGATCTACCTGGTGGCAGTCAAAGATTCACCCTAGAGGCCCAGGTAAATGTCCTCCTGGGACGCATTTCTTTGGCACCCAGGCCCCACTCTCCCTGCCCCAGCCTCTGGACCCACTTAGAATGAGTATTGACTGCCCACTCATGCATTACCTGCGTTACAAGTTCACCCTTGGAGGCCACACTGCCATCAGACTTCCCTCCTTGCCGGTCCTGGGAGAGAGAACATAAACAACCTTTGAAGAGGAAAAAACCTACTCCAAGGACAAGAGGAGATCAAAGTGTTACAACAAACGGGGCGGCCACAGCAAAGAGCTCGGCCAGGCAGAAAACTGAGTTTCAAAGTGGGACTCAGATCTCAGAAAAGGATCACACAGGTTTCTTGGGCTTCCGCAGCCCCCTGTGATCACTGTAACCTGTGATTATGTCACTTGTGATGACTGTAACCTTGGGACATGGTAAGGACATGGTAGGGAATGGAGGAGACGGGAATCTCGTTTGTTAGGTGAGGGCTTTACAAACTGAGAAGCCAGGCCTTACACTCAGCTTTCCCGTTTAGGGAGACTTGACACCAGGGCGTGGCTACTGTTCCTGGCTTTGCTTATTTTACTTTGTTTCGAAGTTCATTATTTATTCTGTTGCAATTTGTCTAGCAAACAGTGTGGTGTAGTGTAATACAGTGCAGGCTGGCGTGCACACAGGCACGAGCGCGCACCAACTTTTGTATTGTTTTGTTTGGCTTTATATTTTTGAGCGTCTCTACTCTTGCATGGTTTTGTCTTTTCCGCTACACTGCAGTCAATTACCACGTGATCTCAGCTTATTTACCTGCTCTGTGAGTAGCTGGGTACTTGTCTTTTGATGGAATAAATGCTTGCGTTTCTCCACAAGAAGAGTTTCCATGATAGAAAGTTTGTATATTTCTAACTTAATGAAAACTGACAAATGGATTTCCAAAGTGGTGATTTTCCTATAGGAATTTAAATGAGAGGGGAAAAAAGTATCTGCTCCAGTCAAGGGTGAGAAGGGAGGAGTGGGCGGGGCTTGGCAACACTTTAAAGATGGAAGTGCTGTCTTTGGGAGGCAGAAAACAGTTTATCTGTTAGTATCGGGAGATTCATTTGTTTTCAGATATATCTGAGACATGGGTTTCCAGCCCTTGAGAGAACACAGGAGAAAGCTTGGCAAGGATGAAGGAGGCCAAGAAACCTGGCCAAGTTCAGGTGGCCCTTTGAGCCAAGCTCTGCCTCAAGGATGCTTAGAAGGGATGCTGGAACATCTGGAAGCAGCAGTTTGAAGCTGCTGTGCCAGAGCTTTCTCGTTCAGTCGGACTGGTGTGGCACTAACTTCTTTTAATCACTCATCAAAGCACAAGCCCTGGGAATTGGTGCGGTAACACCCTGAGGAATGTAAAGTTGTCAATCTTGCCTGTCTCTGACCCATGAACCTGGAAAAGCCAGAGCCCTGGTGGGGGCAGGACTACTTACTCGGGTGATGGGGCATATGGAGGTAGGCAGCAAAATGTGGTCTTTGAGTTCCCCACCATCACACACCGTCGATAATTCACATTTGCGGTGAAACTGGAGAGAAAAATTAAAAGGAGGATAAGCAGGAGTGACCAAGGAGGCACCGGGTAGGTATGTGTTGCGTCGAGGTTTTTCTGGGGAAGCGAGCTGTCCAGAGCCCCTGTGTCTTGGAGCACTGCTGCCTTTGGTTTTGACAGGATTGTTGAGTACGTGTGAACATGTGGCATGTCTGCTGGGGCACAGAAATGACATCTAGAGCTGCCCTTAGAGTGTGGCACCCTGAGTGCATTCTATACCCCAGTCCCTGGATCTCTGGGCTAGAAACTCTGAGGGAAGGCTACCTCTGAGAAAACCCATAGGAGGCTGGAGTAAAGCATCAACTGAACCCCTGCATTGTGGGATGCACTTTGTCTGGCTTGGAGGAGCCCCCCATTTAGGGCTGATACCTAGCCAGGAGGTACAAGACAGCCTGGAATTGGCTTTGAGAGGAAGGCTGGGCATCCCTGTGGTACCTGTTATGTATAGAATGTTGTGGACTCTGGCATGAGCTTGGCAGTAGCAAGATCAGGCCCCTGGGCAAGGCAGAGTGCTGCTGAGAGCAATGTGCCTTTGGGCCAAAGTCTAACTCTAAGATGTAAAGAGGGAGCTTTTCAGGATTTAATCTCTCTCCCAACCTGTCCGGTTACTGCAGCCCCGGATGAAGGATGTTCATGATCTAGCTGGCTGTTCCCAGCCACTGGTCATGTAGGCAGCAGGTTGGCTAACTTCTTAAACAGCTCTTTCTCTGGGCAGTTTGAGGAGTCATTGGTGGCTGGGAGGCTTGAATAGGTCTGGGGGCTCTGGGCTAGCCTCTTAGCTTCATCCCCTCACTCTACACTTGGCCTCTGGAGGGATGTTCACTACCCCGGGCTACAGCTCGAACAAAACCCACACTGAAAAGAAGTAGGGCCGCCCTGGGCACCGACCCACCGTCATCCGGCACCACACGCAGTGCCGCGCTGTGACACTCTGGTAGCACTTGATACTTTTGTGGCACCGGTCACACTTGACGGAGGAGTTCCCTTCCACCCACGCGTGCTGCATCACCTGTGGGAGGGAAGGGAAGGATACCAGGGAAGGCAGTGGAATCATGCCCCTGGGTCCAGGGCTACAAAGAAGTGGCGGCGCGAGGAGCCCAGAGGGCCCTGTTTCCTCAGTGTGGAAGCTGATTGGATGCAGAATTTCACCTGCCTGACCACCACTATGCTAAGCAAAACATGTTAAAAACAGGTTCCATGTTGCCTGAACTAGTTCTCACCCCACCAGGCAAGCATCTAAGCAGCAGCTCGTCCACCATCCCTCTGTCTTGTAGAACTCTCTGGCCAGACTTGTCTTCATGTGGACCCTTTTCTAGGAGGCAGTTGGACCTCTCTGAGTCTCTGGCCCTTCCTCTTTAGACTCTAGACTGAGGGACCTCTGGGATACACTGAACAGCACAACTGAAAGGCTTCTGTGGCACACTTCTCTGTTAACTCACTTCCTTTTCCTTAGCTTCCTCAGCTGGCTGTTACAATCACCTGAGGACTCTGTAGAAATCCTGGTGCCCACCCTCACACTCCAAATGAGTGAGTCTCTAGGGGGGCAGGCCCCAGAGGTTTGACTTAAATCTCCCCATATGATTTAAATTCACACGTGTTAAAGCGCCCCGGGTGCTTCTAATGTAACACTAGCTGAGACGAAAGAAGAAGGAGCTAGATTACAAAGTCCAAAGCCATCAGTCAGGGTCCCCTTCAGACCCATTTCCTGGCCATCTGGATGCATCAGCTACCTGGCTGGGAAATGTCACCAGGACATAGCATGGGGGTTTGGATGCATACCTCTAACAAAAAATGGAAACCTCTGACCCATTGCCTGGGAGCCTCTGTCCTCAGATCTCTCTCCCTGGAACCGCATAGAACTAAAAACTTCCCACCAAGGTGTCCTGAGGTACAGCAGGAAGATGTGGGAAAGTGAGTGCATATCTCAAAATGCCCAGCTTCAAATACTATATTAGAAACACAGGAAATATTTACATGATATAATCCACTTTTGCATTGAACAAGAATAAGTGTTTTAAATTTCTTAGCAGCTAAGTTGTGTGGTACTATTCACCCGAATACTTTTACTAATTTATTGCTCTAAAACACATGCCACACTTGATTTGTAGCTTTTCACATTCGGCTGCATCAGTGAGGTGGAGAAAGAAGCCACTTTGTGAACTTGAATTCTACATGGTTACATGGACTATGCTCTGAGATTATTGTTTCCATTTTGCAGAGGGACAAGTAGAGGCTTCAGAGAAGTGAGTGACTGACTTTGGGTTCTAGAGCCAGTGAGTAGCCACCCAGGAATCCACAGCCAGGTCTTTGGACTCTGAACCTCAGGGTTGTTGCCCCAGCACTGTGTTTCATTCTTCAGCCTGTCTGGGGTCTGAAGAAATGGTGAGAGACTTGGGCTGTCCCTGCAGGCTCACAAGGTTGTGGTTGTGACCTATTGGCCCCTCAGCCGTGTTACCCTGCTCTCCGTGTCAGATGACTAAAGAGACCTGAGCATAGAAGGCTCACTGTGTGCTCTGGTAGAAGCCAGGCATGGACATGGAGGCATATGTATGGGGAGTGAGGCATGCAGTGGTTATGGGGCATGCATATGAGGAGTCCTCTGAGAAGCCTTCCTCCCAGGAGGTCTTCCATGGGAAAGCTGTGAGCATCCCACATTCTAACCATCCCTTGGTTCCCATTCCTCAGCTGCGTCATCCCTCTGCAGCAGTGTGGATGAGCTGCCCCCAGTTTTAAGGGCAATCTAGTTCCAGACTCAGCAAGCAACCCCCCACCCAAAGGCCAGGAAAACTTCTCCCACCTTCTGCGTCTCATCTTGGCATCCATGTCTGAGACCTAGAGCTGAGCCTCTCAACTGCCTTTGAGTTTCCTTCCTTTCTTTGTTTACCTTTGTTAGTGGAGTCTGTTCAGAACACTCAGACACAACCAGTCCTACAAGGGTGCATCAAAATAGACCCGATCTGCTCTGCCTCGGGGCAGCAATAACTACTGTAACTGCTGGAAGCATCTTCTTCCCTCTGCTTTCACTCCTATACCAACCTCAGAAAGTGTCATATAATTAGAAACGTCACCATGTCTTCATGTCTGAAGCTCTTCCTAATTCTGCACTGCTTTCTAATTCTGGAGTTGGTCTTGAAAACATTCCTCCAGGTAGGACCTCGTCACCTTGTGAGTCCAGCTTCTTGGCCTTCCCTGTAATCATCATCTGACCCAGCCATTCCAAACCGAATCCAGGCCATGGTCAGGTATATCTCCATGCCTGTCCACGGGAGCCCCCTTCTATTAGTATGCTCTGCCCTCTTCCATGCCTGTGAAGCCCTCCTGGTTCAAAGGACAAACAGAGTCCTACCTCCTTTGAGAAATGTTTTTCCTTTCAGGTTTCAACTGCACATCCACGAGCCTCTGTTATGACAGCACACACCTCATGGCTTTGCACTATGCTCACAAACCTATCTAGCATCATAACCTGTGAAGAATTTGAGACGACTGGATACTGTTTCTCATAACCTGTGGATGCCCTGGTACGGCGCCTGGCATACAGTAGGCTTCAGGGAGATGCTGAATGGATTGATGGATGAGTGGGATGGCTTGAGGGTCCTTGAGGCAGAGAAGGAACTAGAGAAAGCTCTCCGAGCCTCTTCCCACACAGGGATCTGTGATGATGGACATGTTACCCCCGAGGCAGCACACAGTAGAATGAGCCCATTGGTGTCACCAACCTCGCCACTCCTTTTGGCTTTGGAGTATGTTTTTACACATCCAGGAATGTTTTTGGATACACAGCGTTGGTGGACAGTATATTTACAGTCTGGAAAAAAAGAAAAAAGGACAGTGGTTACACATGCCACCAAGGGAATAAAAATCTACACACCCTCCCCAGTGCACACACTGCAGCGAAGGCTTGCTTCTAGAGCTGGCCTGGCTTAGCAGAAACCTAACACTGCCATGTGAGTAGTCTGTAGCTCCCCCAAACCTCTACTTCTTCCCACCACCCCCACCTCTTCATACTACCTTTCTTTGATGGCAGTGACTGCACAGGTGTGAGATCAGAAGGGGTGGTGAGGGACAGATGTCTCAGCATTGCCTGTTGGGATGCCAGCAAGAGGACAGAAAGCCTATGGCCCCTAGGCTGATGGAGGCTACTGGCCACAGCCTACAGAATGTGGAGTAACTTTTCGTGCCTTTTGGACACTCAGGATTCTCTGTCAGATGCACACACAGTAGCTTTCCTTCCTTTTCTCTCTGGGGCAGGGATTTTTGCCGTAATAAGTGGGACATTTGTGGGAAGCACCACGTACAGGGTCAGATTAGTGACTCTGAAATTTGTCATTGATGTTGTAATTGTGGCTGTGCACATAGCAAAGGAAGGACCAAGGAGTCTAGACTCAACAGGGATGAGAACATGTTGGCCAGCTGATGTTGAGTGAGTCTGGGGAGATCGGAGCCCCTGTTCTTCAGCCTGCTAACTCCTTGGGGTCTAGCTGGTGTCTGCTATCTGGCCATGAGGTGGCTGGCAGGGCTCAGTGTGCCCACATTCTCTGGCCCCTTGGTAGCGTCTGTCTTTAGCCCTGTCTCCTCTTCCTCCCCGCCTTTCCAAACATCACCCTTTCTTCATTTTCCTTCCTTCCATTTCTTTCTGAGTTTCCCTTCTTAGTCCTGACCTGATCCCTCATTTGTGATTTTTTTCTGCTTTCCCCTCTAGCTCTACTAAATGAATTACAAAATGAAATAAACATATACTTTTATTTTCCATTGCACTTCTAGAATATAAGATATGTTCTTAACTAATTAGAAAGCTCCTCTAAACACATATGATATGAACATTGGCCAGAAACAAAACTGCAATTAGCACAAGTTGTCTTTAATTTATGGAAGACCTTAATACTCATTTTCCAGAGGAGCAGTGGCCTGTGACCCCAACAGCAGCAAACATCATGTCCCTTTGATTCAGCTAGCCCCAAAGCAGGGCACAGAGGACTTGCTGTTGAAACAGGGCAATCCCACCATCTGGAAAGCAGAAATGCCTGTATTTTGCCTGGAATGGATCCACTGAGCATGTGCAAAGCAAATGGACCCAGAGGGAAAAGGCGTCAGGACGGTTACTCACAGATGCAGCACAGGCCTTGCTTCCGAACACCCATCAGCATGATGTGGCAGAAGTTGCAGTAAGTGGGCTTCTTGAAATGCTTCAGGGTCCAGGCATGCCTCCCATCCCCCTTGGAGCCCTGCAAGGGTAATGATGGTGAGACACTGAGCTGCGATCCCTACTGGGAGCCTGAGACCTCCTTGTGGAGGTACTGCATTTTCTCTATGATCTCTTCTCAAGCTTGGAAGATAAGTTACCCAGATTCATTAACAAATTCTTAGTGTATGCTTTCTAAAATTAGCACATACAAAAGAAAAGAGCATCTGAACGGTAGTGGGAGGGGAGCTAAAATAAGCCCTCTCCTACCTGGATGCCGGAAGTATAAATGGAATAGCAATTTGATAAGTCTGCCTGCCTATCTATCTATCTATCTATCTATCATTTATCAATAATCCATCCATTGGTCTATGTATTGTCTATCAATTATCTATCATCTATCTATCTATCTATCTATCTATCTATCTATCTATCATCTATCTATCATTTATCATTCATTCATCCATTAGGCTATCTATTGTCTATCAATTATCTATCATCTATCTGTCTACCTATCTATCAATTACCTATCATCTATCTATCTATCTATCATCTATCTATCTATCTATCAATCACCTATCTACCTCACCTGCTATCTTAAGAGTCTTTAATGATTACAATCTGACTCAGCAGCATTTCCCCTTGAGCTCCAGTCTTAATAACTTTTGAGAAAACAGATGAGCATTTCTGTGCTAGTCAGATCAGCATTATTCCAAATAGTGAGAGCCTAAAAATGTCCTAACCATGCCCAGATCAACTAAAGCTGTAGTGCATCCATATACTAATTGCCTTCTAAGGCAATTTATTTATCTCTTTGGTCTCAAGAACTGACGATGATGATAATGAATATTATTCCAGTCCACTGCCAGATTTTAATCTGTACCAAATACTGGGGGGAACAAAACTATTGGAGGAGCAGTAAGTTCATCACTAGTAAACAGATAGAAAAACAGACTCAGAGAGATTCTGTAACTAGGCCAATGTCACAGGAAAGATGAGGGAGAGAGCCAGCGGTTGATCTGCAGGCTCTCCACATCTCTCCATACCTCCACAAGGATCTTCCTAGACAGACGGAAACTTAGCACCTTGTCAAGAGATCTGCTTATTCATCATATACTCATCATTTTATCTGAAAACACCCTCATCCAGCCCAGTCCCCTGCCTACCCAGTTCCGAGAAGCAAATGGCTGCTGGGCTCAGGTAAAGCTTCTGCTTGTGTTCTAGCACCACCGTGTGGCTTGTTCATTTCTGGCCAGGTTTTACCCATTGCTACAATTTTACCAGGAGACAGGATTTGAGAGAGCCCCAAGCATTCTTAGTGGTCTTATGTGTGATTGAAAATGGCAAGAAAGTTGCAGCAGCAGGCTATCCAGGAAGTTGGTGGGGCTTCCTGTAGAGGCCCGAATGTAACTGGTTAGTTACAAACTTACTTAGCCCATGGTTACAATATAGGTTTACATAAGGCTTTGGATTAATAACAATGAATTCTACATTTTTTGATGTGTTCCACTTTTTTTGATGTGAATTCTAGTTTTATGCAAGGCTGATTTGGTGTTTGACAGGGACCCTGGACAGGAGCTAAAGAAATACTCAGGTTTTGCCTGCTGCCTCCTGACATGTGGGCTCTTTCCATACAAGATGCTTTGGACACTAGCAGGATCAGCTCACAGAGAACAGAAGTCGGTTCCTTATGCTTACAGGATCCCATCTTGTTCCCCCAAATGAGAACAAACCAAGACAACAACCTGTTGCTGTTGGAACAGCAACCAAGCAGAGCATCTCTTTGGATCGGGTTCCCAGTGAGTGCTGATAACTGTCTACCTTGCTTTTGGGTTCTTGTGTGTGTAGCTCCTGAGCAAGAGGTCATTGTACACAAGTCTCCATGCTACTGAATGTGACAGACGGCCCTTTAGTTAGGTGTGTGCCCTTGGACCAGTCCTTTACCTTGCTGGGCCTCTGTTTGTAGAATGAAAGGGCTGGAACAAAAGCCACAAAGGACTCTTAAGCCACATCATGTGCGACCCTAGAGCCAGAATGTCATCAAGCCAGGCCTGGTATGCAAGCCCGTAAGCCTAGCCACACTGTATGCTGAGGAAGGACGATCACAAGTTCAAGCAGCATGGCCGGCCTGGGCTACAGAGCAAGTCTGAGGCCAGCCTGTGCAACAGAGTGAGACTTTGACTCAAAAATAAAATATAAACAAAGAGATGGAGATATGGACCCGTGGCAGAGTGCTCACCTAGCATGTGTAAGGTCCCTGGTTCAATTCCCACATAACCCAAACAGAAAACAGAATGAGTTCTCAGAATCTTGCTTATTCCTTAGGGATAAGCCGAACACTCGCCAAGGTTTCTTCTCACCGCTCTGACTGAAGTGCAGGGCGCTGGAAAGAGTGGGGAACTTGGAGCTAGGTACAAAACCCAGTTTTTGTTTCTCTTGCTATGGAACCCTGGCTTTCCATCTGTAAGATGGGATAAAAGTACCTGTCACATCTGTTGATTGTTAAGTCCATTCACAAAAGCCCCGAGGCAGATCACTGCTCCTCTTCTTCCCTCCTTCCTTTGCTAACTCTTTGCATTTCCCTAGCTTTAAATTTTTTAATTAAGTTTACTCATTGGCAGAGGCGGGTGGGCATTTGTGTCATGGTATGCGGAGGTCATATGACAGGGAAGTGAGTTCTTTTCTTACACGATATGGATTCTGGGAATCGAACTCAGCTTACGTAGTGCCTCTATGTGCAGGGTCCCCTTGCTGACCCCTCTCCTAGGATCTTAAGACCTAGCTTGATGGAAAGATGAGATGCTCTATGAAGTTTCTGTTGCGCTTTGCCTGGATGAGAATAAGTGTCATGCAGGCAAATGCTTTATCTATGTCCCCTCATAGTGAGCACAACAAAAAATTTCCCTTTGTAAAAGAGCGGCAAAGAGTGGTCAGGAGAAAGGATATGTTTCTGGCATGCAGAGTGAAAGGGAGGAGCAAGAGCCCGCTGGAGCCAGCAAGCGGGGCGGGGCTGGCCCATTGGGAAGTCTGGAGCAGACAGACACTAGCAACAAGATGGAATCCAGAGGCATTGAATGTGGTTTACTGACTTACAGAGTCATCCATCCCCAGGAGGACCAGCAATGGGATGGTGGTCATGCCTCCGTTGACCCACTCCTGTAGAGACACAAAGCCATCCTTGTCGTAGTCCATGCCTTGTAACATCTCCTTCAGTATCTGTGGAAGCCAGAGAACAATGAACAGGTCGTTTGCAACCGTTTCCGGATGCCTCTGCTCTCTGTTTTCTCTTCTGTCCTGTGCTGTTTCTAATTCACACATTGCCCTGCTTATTCAGAGTAAGCAGGGTGACAAGGAAGCAAAGCAGTGAGAGACCAGGCTTCGAGGCTCAGCTCTGCTCCATCCTGACCTTAGGTAGCTCACCCCAGCTCTCCGTGCTCTGGGGTGCTCATCTTAAGATGGAAATAATATTGCTATATTCCAGCACATTAGCAAAGACCAGAGGAGATGCATAAAGAGTGTTTAATCTAATATCTGGTACATAGCACCCCCAGTGTAGTTAACATTAGAAGCTGACGATTAACAACTTTTCCATTCTGGGCTCTAGCTTCTCTGTTCTATGAGTTTCTATTATAGAGTTGCCCCTGCTGGGTAGGCTGGGGGACTGCAGTTTCTGCCATGTCTAGACCTCGTCCTGCTGCCTTAAGCATCTTTCCTGTTGGAGAAAGGGGAGCTCAAAGCATAGGACTCCAAAGAAGCTGCTGAGAGGATGAGTCTGGGTAACCACACAGTAACATTCAACCATTCGCACCCACATGCCAGACGTGCCTCACTGTCTCTGGAGAAAACTGTGTTTGTAGAAACTCACAGGTCTGAGCTCTGTGGGATCCCACTCCAGGTACTGGGCAACATGCAGCATTTGGTTCACAATCTGATCCATCTCCTAGAAAATATCAGGAGAGAAATATCAAAGGGAGAAAACCAAAGTGTGTGTGTGTGTGTGTGTGCCTTTGTGTGTGTGTGTGCCTGTGTGGGTGCATGTGTATGTGTGTCTCTGAGTGTGTGTGTTTCATCAGAATAAGAACAAAACTGAAAATCAAACATGGCAGGAGGATGGGCAGGATGGATCACGAGGAAAAGCTTGAGCATACACAGGAACCCCACAAGGGCAGCCTCCTTGATTACAAAGGCCAGTGGACTTAGATGCTCACAGCAGGCCAAAGCAAGGGAGCACCTGGAGCACTGACTCCTAGGCCCTCCCTCCTCCTTCATTCTGTCCTTTGACCAGGAAACCGCAGGGAATCCTGTTTTCTTTTTTGTAACATATGCAAACGCAGGTGAAGACAGGTCCCTCCTTGCCATTCTTATCACTTGGTCTCCATCTCCACACCTTAGCAGCTTGGGCTTTGTCTGTCTGTCTGTCTGTCTGTCTGCCTCTTCAGTCAGGTTCACATCCTGTGTTGGTCCTTGCTCAAGCACTGTGACTTAGATTTATCTCAGCATCTTCTCTTTCATTTGCGTTACAGTCGACCCTGAGCCTAGAACTTGGTGAACGGAAGTGTATGTATACATGATGGATTAGCCCTTTGGTACCAAGGCCTGTCTAAAACCTTATAGATCTGTCAGGTGCTAGTGAGGCAGTGCGTACAGGGACCCATGAGAACATACTCTGCTGGGGAGTATTTGGTGTCAGTCAGCGTCTTACATATGGATACCACCTAAGATGTTCATAGGGAGATTGTTCTGGAACTGGATTGTGTGGGCAAACTGAAGAAAGTTTGCAAAGTGTTACTTCCTTCATGTCAAATTCAGGGCTAAGCCAACAAACTGTGTCTCAACCACTATTTGATTTTTAAGGTATATTTATATTGTGCTGTGCTCTCTCTCTCTCTCTCTCTCTCTCTCTCTCTCTCTCTCTCTCTCTCTCTCTGTGTGTGTGTGTGTGTGTGTGTGTGTATGGTTCACATATGAGTGCAGGTTCCTGTAGAGGCCAGAAAAGAGCATCAGGTCTCTTGAAGCTGCAGTTACAAGTACTTGTGAACTCCAACATGAGTGCTAGGAACTGGACTTGGGTCCTCTGTGACAGTAGTAGTAACCCCTGAGTCATCTCTGAAGCCCCTGACACAGATATATCTGCTCAGTCTCTGTCTCTCTCTGTCTTTTTCTCTCTCTGTCTTGCTCTCCTCTCTCTCTCTCTCTCTGTCCCTCTCTTCTCCTCTTCCATCTCATGCTGGACTTGGAACTTGTGATCTTTTTGCCTCAGCCTCTTGCCTATAAAAAAACTACTACTTTACTCAAAGGGAAACAGTAGCCCAGAGCAAAACTACAGGGTTGGGCAGTGGCCAAGTATGATGAAGGGGGTAGAACATTTCAGTGGAGTAATCTGTGAGTCTATTGGGGGTCAGGATTCTACATGATAATGTCACTTAGAAACTGAAAGTTAGACGCCATTGTGGGCTATGCAAATAGAAGCAAAATGGAGTGGCTTCAGGAACAAGTAGGTCCCAGTGTCCACTCTGGCCAGGCCACATCTGATTATGTAAAGCCATGGATGGGCAGGTTTTATTGCCTGATGTGTTTTAATACTGGTGTTGCCTGCTGGAGCTTGCCCAACATGATTATTTAACACAGCCTAATGAGAACCAATGGAGAACGGGAGACTGGCTTCAAGGAGGTTTTGTCTAGGCATGATAGAATGTTTAACTGTCAAGGTTATGTAGTTTTGTGTTTCTCTCATCTGAATAGCTGTGGAGGGCAGCAGGGAGCCAAGGTTGCGGGGTGGGGGTGGGGTGGGGGCGGGGAAGGGACAATGGGAGGGAGCCTATTTTGATTTCCTCTTTGGTTGGGGAAGAGGGGGGTACCAGCATGTTGTGTGATGTCTGGCAAACTGAAGCCTGGCCTGCTGGCAGGAAGTCCTGTCCAGCTCACTCCTAGCAGTGGGACAGCTACTGTGGAGGAGTGGCTTCTTTTTCACTGAGAGTGTTCACAAAGAAGCTGTCAGCCAGGGACTCCAGGTGTGAAGTTGAGTCAGAGGCCTCTTTGGAGACTTGTTTCTGTCCACTAACATCATCTTTAAAATATATTCTGGAATGAACCAGTTTCCAGCACAGTACTGCTGTCCTGTGTAAGATTACCATTGTTCTGTGACCTGATTATTTCCTTAGGTCTCTGTTCAGTATGCCTCTTATAGTCTTCTTGACATAGTCTCTAGAGCGATCCTTGAGACATGCCAATATGTTGCTTTTTATTTCTTCACCAGCAAGCCCAGTTTCCACTTAACCCTACAGCATCCTGGGCACGCTTCAGTATCTTTGCACACAGTGTTTGCTACCTAGAGGGTTCTTTCCCTAGATTAGCCCCTTCTCCAAGCCTCTGTTCCAATGTCCCTTCCTCAGGGAGGCCTTCCTTGACAACCCTTCTGAAAGCTGTCACTCCCCCCAGCATTTCCTACTTCCTTTATTTTTCTTCTCAGCAAACATCTACCCAATATGTATGCACGTATATGTATTTATTTCATACTGTATGGCTTTATTTTTGCGATGCTAAAATTGAATTGAGGTCTCAGGCTAGCTAGGCAAATGCTCTGCACTGAGCCTTATTTCCAATTCCACCTGACCCCTTCTAGTTGAGAGAGGTACTAATGCCTCTTCTGCCCCAGCTTCCTGGGATTCAAATGCTGGGATTACAGTGTGCACCACCACTCCCCAGTCCACAGGCATCTGACGTGCTGTTTAGTGTTGCCTAGACTACAGTGAAAGGAAATGGAACTTTGTTACTTGGCTACAGAGCAGTACCTGGCATGATGTAAACCCTTGGTAAATGAATGCTTGTGGTCTGTGAGAGTCTGTGCTTGTTCCATCAAAGACCACAGCCCAGAGCGCTGCAGCAGTGCTGGAGAGACCAGTGGAGCTACTAGGGTAGAGATGGTATGATTCCTTGGCCTAGTAAACTTATTTCCTCTGTCCCTTCATATTTCCTTCCCTCCCTCCCTTCATCTTTCCCTTCTTCTCTCTTTTCCTTCCTTTCTCTCATTTCAGTCAGCCATATACATTTCAGGCTTAGACCTGACAGTTCATAATAAGCCTTGGCAGTCAGCCATGACCACAAGGCCTAGATTCAGGGCCTCCTTCTTTCTTGGACTTCTCTGTCTCTAGTATTTCTCTTTCTCCCTGGTCCTGTTCTTGCTTCTTTCTGAAGGGGTGAGGTGACAGTAAAGGGTTTAGAACAGATGGGACCAGGCTCCTGGTCTTGTAGAGATAGGAAGTCAGTAACCTCCATCCCTCTTGGCCTTGTCTTGTTACTTTTCTACCCAACTCCTCTTGATTCCTGGGTTTCAACAGGACATTTCAAGGGAAGTCTATAGACAGGGAAGTTACATTTGAGGAAAATACTAAAATGTTCCCCTTATCCTGAGATTGTGTGGTTCCAGGCTTCTGGGTATGGAAGAAGGAAAATGGAGTCTATGCTCTACAGTCTGACTCTCTGGAAAGCAGGAGGCAGGGGTTCCACTCATGGTCTGCATCCCTTAGCCAGAATGCTGCAGCTCCTGTAGGGATGGAACTGGGGAGTTTGGATGCTTCCTTCACTGTACCTTGCTCTTTCCACTCTTTCAGATCCCAGGACTGAGCTGAAAGTGGAAACTTACCGCTTGGTCCAGGAGTCCATTTTCATCCAAATCATAGAGACGAAACATGACTGCAAGAAACACACAGGTTAGTCCGAGGTCCTCCAGGAGCCAGCATGGGCTGACATTCTGCTACTTCTGTTTTTTTTTTTGTTTTTTTTTTTTTGTCCAGATTCAAGCAGTAGTGGAGCATAAGCTATTACAGTCAGCTTACTCTCTGAGGTTCAGTATATGATTTCCTTAAGGAAGAGATAAAGCTGGGGAAGAGAATGAGGCCCCTGGGCTCTTGGGTCTTCCTGTACAGTGACTCTGTGGCAAATGAGACCCAGGTCATGAACAAGACACCCTGGAGAGCATGCATATCTTTCTGCATCAACTGGACACAATTTGAAACCCATACTCAACAGCTGATCCGGCTGAAGCACCACCAGAATTACAGTGGGACCTTTATCTCCACTGCACACAGGGAGAGTGCAGAGTCAGGCATGTTAGAATCTTGGTGCATGCTGATACTTCTGGGATGTCAGACAAGTTACCTCTCTTCTGGGATCACTTTATTTGTAAGATGGAAACTGTAGTTTATCTCTATTGCTGCGAGCATAAAGATTAATATTTACAGCTATAGTCATGGATAGGCTCAGAATACATAAAGTATTTAACATATTGTTTCTTTTCTGTTATCAGTGAACATTTACATATGACTTTACTTAGACAGTAGGTACTGTTTTATGCATCCAGTCATAATTACCTAGTGATAATAATTACCATAGTCATGATGACATGAGGTAGTTGCTACTGCTGGAACTACGTGACACTCAGGATGTTATTTTTTTTTTTTGACACTTTATCCCAAATGCTGGGAGCCAGGAGCATTTCAGATTTGGAGTATTTTTAAATTAGGGAGTATTTAATATATATAATCATATATTTAGGGGGACATTCCCTGAGTCTACATGCAATATTACAGTTTTCACGTGTCTTACGTGCATAGCCTTCAGGAAACTTTATGGAATATTTTTAGTGTATCCCGTTTCGATTTCAGATGGAAAATTCTCCACTTATGCCATGGAGTCTCAAAAGTTTGGGAGTTTGGAGGAAGTGCCAATATGCTAATTGGAATATCTTGTGAGCTTCAGGGAGGTGAAGCAGACAAGGAAGGCCTGGGAATGACTGGGACTAAAGACTAAATGTGCACTGACAGGGACAGTCACCCAAAAACATGGAGATGGTGCGATCTCAAACATAAGCTGGGCAGGAAGCAAACCAAACACTTCTTCCCTTTCACCCCCATTCTTTATGGTGTTCACTATTGATTCTCTTATGTGCCCCTCCTACTGGCCACATCCTGGCACAGCTCAGTACAAGCTGTCTGGTGATCTTATGCCTCTCTTGTGGGACTGTCCTCCAGAGGTTTTAAATTCCCTGGACCTTGTATCCCCGCCCCCTGCATGCTATGTACCTGAGTAGCATTTAAGGTTTGTAAAAGTGGCATCACCTCCTTCCCATTCTCTCTGAATATTCCCATTGTCATTTCTCAGAATATTGTGGCCGGGGGCACATAGTACAGGCTGAGTGACATAGAGAAGGTCGAAGCGTACCACTAACTTTGCTTCAGGACATGTTCTGGTTCAGATGACCCAGGTCAGACATGCTCCTTCCCATACTGTCTCTCATGTAGAGTGAGATAGCAAGTCTGCCGTCCAGGGTTATTATGAGACTGACAGTGAGAAGGTGGATTCAAAATGCTTAGCAAGTAAAATGCATGGTGTCGTCCATGGGAGGGGCTCTTGCATTGACAAGAGGTGGACTCTCAGGGATGACTTCCAAAAAAGCCGCATGCCTAGTTCTCAAACTAGAGACACTTCATTTCTTTTGAATCATTAAAATGAGGGAATGATTTAGACTGATAGAGAAAAAAATAAAACAAAAAAATCAAACCAAACCAATGGAAATGCTGACTAAGTGACCTTTTTGCATCAGAGGTTGTAAGGGAAAATATTAGCTAAAGATGGAGAGGGAACTAAAACCTCAAAGACACCAAAGAGATATAAGGAATGGTGAATCAGCGGGCTTGGTTGGAAAGTGATCGGACAGTGAAACCCTATAAATAAATGTGACTATTGGCTGAGTGTTCCCTAAGGGTGTGACATCAGTGTATCTGAGCAGAGCAGTAGCGTGATCTTAGAAATATACACTGCACTATTTCTGGATGGAATCATGGGATCCTAGGATCTGCTTTGAAACAGTTAGAAGCTGAGGTGGGCGAGAACACCCCGAACAAGAGTGACCACCAGCTAGTGTGAATGGTGAAGCTGGGAGGCTCACACATGGTTGAAAACTGAATCCGCCTTGGAAATTTTCGATATTAAAAAAAAAAAGGACCTAGAAATTTTTTCCTTTCTGTTTGAAAAAGTCACTCGGAGCGTCACTGATGCAAAGGATCTGACTCGTCCCCCTTGGTAGTCACAAACAATCATGATGTGGAAGACTCAAAGCCCTCCAACAGTTGGAAATAATTTGATATTTCACCCAGAAAAGAAAAGAAATCTGCATTCTCACCAAATTAGCACTTGAGACTTGTATCGTGAATACCCCCAGCCTATGGGAGACTTTAAGCGCGCTAACTAGCTAATGTCTAGACTGGTACTGTGCCCTGGGTGGACTGTAGGACATGCTGTTATCACTGCTACCGAAGGGACAGGGAACCCTCCCCAGTGCCCAGATGCGTCTCCAATGTGTATGAAATAACTGTCCAGAGCCTTGGTCTTCCTCTGGGAGGAAGCTGAGGCCCTAGGCCAGTGAGCACTTACATTCTAGCTTATCCTGGGGTCTCCCAGTCTCCATCAGGGACAGGTAACACACAACATCCTTCAGGTACACTGTGGGAGCACATGAGCTTGAAGCCAGAGAATCCAGGTCTCCCCATGGGGCTGCAGCCTCTAGTCCTTTAGATGGTGCTTGTGTCTTAGTTGATTTTGATTCTGAAAGACAAAAGGTGAGCATCCAAGGACCGTCACCTAGCAAACATTATTCCTCCTACGGTCCCATCCTCTTCACCGTTGAGGAGAGAATGTTCTATGGGTGGCTTACTGAATTTAACTAACAGACATTGTGTCACGTGGCCACAGAAATCCAGTCTGCAGCTATTTTCTAGGAGTAGCTTCATTATGATCCATTGAAGACTTTATTTCCTTGCAGAAAGCTTATTCATTTTTAGATTTTCCAGGAAAGATGGCAGTGGGTCCTGGCAATCACATAGTGAACAAAAATATCATTTACCATACTGCTCCAAATACTTAATTTGCAGACGTAATTCTGGATGGGCTTCTGCCACATCCAAACCCTTCCTTGTGAGGAGCCATGGAAACCTTGAGGAGTGAGCACAATGTCCTCAGAGGATGTATGCTGTTGACATGAGCCAGCCATGTCAAGGATCAATGTCTTGTACCCATGAAAGTGGCAAAGCCTTCCCCAAGAGAGGCTCAGAGGGATGGCAAAGGCTTCCTCTGGTCCACGGATGAGTGATAATGTATGCAGGGCTGGGTAGTTCCTCCCACCGTGTTCACTGCTTGAAGACTGCTCGGCTATAGAGAGTGTTTATTCCAAGTTGTGAAGCCCATCTCCTTGTTCAGCTGTATGTAATAGTCCCGTTTCCTTGTTTATCTGATGTAATGACCCCACCTCCCTGTTCAAAGGTATATAATAAACACTCCACTGAACTTCCCAGGATGCTGCGGCTTCTCCATCTCAGTATAGATCCCTAATCCAGCTTTTCTGCATCCTTGTGTCTTTCATTTCTTCATTTTCATTCCCTTACTGTCCCAGGTAGGTCAGTCTCTGGACTCATGCAAGGATGTGTTATTTCATAATTTTCTTCTACAAATATACTTAATGACAAATGAGGAGATTGACAATCTAAGAGAAAAACTCTACTGACAATCAATCCATTTTCAGAAACTAGGAAACTTTAATTACCAAGAAAATGCAGAAAGCAACTTGCTGTATGCTCCCCGAGGAAAAGTTTCCCCCATACTCTACCCCCTAGATCAGAAAATATAAAGTTTATTATCAGTAAGGACACTAGGGGTTTTATTTCACTATGTGAATCCTGTTCTCTGAGGTACTTTGTTCTTTCTTCCTTCAGTTTTGTTACTTTCATGTCTACCAGAAATCTCTTCATACCCAGTAGGATGTACAACACACAGGAAGCAACTGACCATGGGATAAAGACAGTACTGCCAGTGGACAATCCAATCTAGGCACTGTGAGGCCAAGAAGCAGTAAGTGCCAATGACACAGACAGAGGCGGAGGCAGCCTCTGCGGTATTGCCTGCCGGGAAGGCAGTGTTACCACACGCTGTCCAGAGAACCCAAGAGTCACACACTGGAAGGGAGCATTGACCTCAGTCAGCAGACCTGAGAGAGAGGAAGGCTTACCTGTCATGTAGCTCATATAGTGTGGCTGTGAGCTAGAAAGATGTCAGCTGTCATTCACAATGAGAGCTGAGATGCCCCTAGGATTGCCACCTCCTGGCATTTGGAAGAACTTTAAATGTTGTAACAAGGGAAGGGGCTCTGGCAGATCCTGGTGTTCTTGGTGGGTTGAGGAGGAGATCAGAGCCTGGGAGTCCAGAGTGTTCCAAGTCAGACTGGAGCCTAGGGAGCCACACAGACACTAACCCAGAAACATGGACAAGGCTCCCTTATAACCAAGGCAGCCAACTTCACTTCTTCCGCTCAGTGGTAATTATTCCTCCCTGGTGAGAAAACTGCCTGAGGCCAGGGAATGGGGGGCAGTTTGGTTAGGATGGGGTTAAGGGAGGCTGGGAATGGGGGCGGTTTGGTTAGGATGGATTAGAGGAGGCCAGGAGATGGGGGCAGTTTGGTTAGGATGGAGATAGGGGAAGGTGCAGGATTGGAAGGACAAACTCTGACAAAAAGGTCAGGACTAATGCTCAGTCTCATCGATGGGGTAGAAGCCCTGGTAATCCACATGTTACTAGTAGAGTTCAATTCCCAGCAACCACATGGTGGCTCATAACTATCTATAATGGGATATAGTGCCCTCTTCTGGCTTGCAGGTGTATATGCAAATATCATAAACAAACAAACAAATATCTTAAAAAAGTAGAATCCTACCCAAGCTATTTTAAAAGACCAGCATTGCTTCTAGGCCCAAATAAAAGACATCACAAAGGTAGATTTCAATATTCTTCATGACACAGATGCAGAAACTGCACAATGTTAACTATGACAATGTTATAATCTCCTATAACTGAAGCATCCAGAGTGCCTGGAACATTATACCTAGCACTTCGTTCCAAGGTGTTTTCCCAGGAGAAACAAAGGTTCTCCCCACAAAGACTTACAAAAGAATATTTACAACAAGTTTGTTTGTAGTAATCCCAAACTGGAAACTAACTAAATGTCCCTGTCCCAACAAGTGAGAGAATTATGGAAACTATATGCTGGAATACTAATGAACAACCAAAGTATGTTGACTATTAACAAACACAAATGATTAAATATTGAAAAGATCATGTTCAACGAAAGAAGAGCTAAGAAAGGAAACACTGAATGACTCTGTTCACACAGAGTCCAGATGGCGCAGTGACATTCATAGTGACAGAAGGCAGATCACAGGCTGCATGGGGAGGGGCACGGCGGGAGAAAGGACTCATCAAGAAATTGCTTATAGACGGTGGATGTGCTCATTCTCCTGGCGTGCAACTGGCTTCTGCGAATGCATGCACACTCCAGAAGTTTTTGATTTCACTTTGAACATGCAATTTATTTTATGCTGACTACAGTTCAGAGCTATGTAAGAACGTGATTCCATTTTTTTTTCTCCTAAAGATGGTTGGGTCAGTAGAGTTCTGGGTAGAGCGTGAGGCACAGCTCTTGTTCATTACAAGGTTTCGTTTACTCCTGCATGGAGATGCCCTGATCCAGGAGGACTGACCGCCTCGTCCCATCAGTGTCTCCTTCTCATGTTTCCACATGTGGAATATGATGTGCACACTTCAGGCTGTGACATCTGCCAGTCTGTTAATTACCAGAATTGATTTGGCCGATCTGGCTGGCTAAGCGGGTGTCCCCTTGCTCCCTCACCACTCCATGTGTGTCCCTCCTGAAGCCATGCACTTGATCGGAAGAAGATGACCTTCCCTGAATAGAGGGGGACCAGTCTTCGGTCAAGGGTGTAAGAGTAGCTGAGCCCCCCTGTTAGACCCTCCAAACAAGCTCTCAAGGTCCACATGTGAAATACCCAAACCTCCAGTCACCTGATACAGCCCTCAGTGACTCAATCGGCCTCTTCCACACCACACAGGCTCTCTGTCACCTAGCACCCTGTTGTAAGCCTCTTCATTGAAGGTGCCTGCCTGTTCTGTTTTTGCTCATAGTCTCTGTGGTACTGGTTGACTTCCAGCTGTGGCAGAGAAGAGAGTTTTGGGACCCTAGCACTGGGTTTACACTAAATGGTGTATGACTTGCTCAGGTAGGCTTACTCTCCAGACTCAACCTGCTTTTGTTTAACTTATTAAAAGAGGCCATTGCATTACAACTGAGGTTTGCCCCAAGCCTTGAATGACACAGATGTTTGTAACTACAATGTTTAGTGAAAATAACAATCTAAATTCAAAATTATGTATGGTTTATTACCAATTATGTAAGAAACCTATTGATAAATACATATGAGTCATACACATCTAACTCCAAATATGGTTGAGCTTAATTTTCTTTTTTTTTAAAGATGAAAAAATATTTTAGAGCAATTTAGGTTTCTAGCAGCACTAGTGGAAGGTATAGAGATTTTGTTCACATACCCTGTGGTTCCCTGCATTCACATACTGTCCTGATCAACATATAAAGTTCTATATATGTCCTAACTGGTGGCCCTTCACTGACACACCATTGTCACTCACAGCCTGAAGCCAGCAGCAGTGATCACTCTTGGGACTGTGTATACCATGGGTTTTCACTGAAGGCTGAGGCCACAGGCTCCTCACTGTAGCACAGAGCAGATCTCACCACCCCTCAGTTGCCCTGTGAAGAGGGATCTCACCACCCCTCAGTTGCCCTGTGCAGGGGGATCTCACCACCCCTCAGTTGCTCTGTGCAGGGGGA